GCGATATTTCTTGAGAAGAAATCTCATCTATGGAAAGTAACTTTTCTTTACAAATTACGAAATGATTATGAGTATAAAGCTGCTTGAGGGTACCATTTTTCTTTGCTAATTTATAAAAGTCTGAGTCTTCTATTCCGCCAACACATTTCGGCTATCTATACTGCCATGGTCGACATCGGGGACTTGTATTCGTACGGTATCACCAATTTAAGCAGAAGGAAATTTTCTTTTTGAGGTTCGTAACATTTTCATTGCTTGCAGTAGAAGATTCTCTTTTGCGGCTGCTCTTTTTATAGACATAACTTCGTGTTGTTCAGTCAGGGCTTGATATGAAGATGTGGTGGGTTGCAGCTCCTCTTCAATATTTTCCTTTGGAATATGGTATTCGTTACGGCCACTGCTCAAATTTTCTTCAAAAGTATTAACAATTTCTTCGACCTCCACCGAAGCTTATCTGTGCTTGTCGACATACACCGCCGATTGTTCGAATGTATAATAATATAACCAAATACTCGGTCTTTCACTGACGTATTTTGTATGTGTCGACATTCACCGGAGAATATCGACATTCTCTAATTTCGGTCTTTCACAGTAACAGAGTTAAATAAACTCAAAAGCAATGAAACCAAACGTAAATAATCATAAGCAACAATTTATTAAAAAATAATACTTTTATTTAAAATCATTATCAATATCTTCCGATAAATTTTTTATACGAAAAAGAGAAATAATCTTATTTAGAGTAATTTGTTCTGAAAAGTTATATTCTATTGCTTAATGTAAAATAATTATTTCAAGCAATAGTGAATTATGACATCTAAAACCTAAATTCATTATATTGTTCATTTGAATTACATAATATATATACAGTATATGTGGGATTTAGAAATATTAGAATGGGTTAAAAATAGTAAATATATTTAAAAATAAAATTTTATTTTGAAATAATAATAAAAAAAAATCTTACTTTAAAGAACTGGACAAACTTTTGACTCTAGGTCCTTCTATTGTCTGTCTAATAGGAGTATGAAATTCAATCATAGATTTTTCTTCTATTGGAGTAGTTATTACAGGACTAGGCGACATTAATGATTTGCTTTGAGTTCTGCCAGCAAATAAAAGATCTTCAGGAGTAGCAGCTTTCTTCCTTGCCTACAGAAAATTTAAGATATGCAAATTTTCCGTTTACTATGGCATTAGGTAAAAAAAATTTTGATTTTTAAACAAAACCAGGGATCAATATTTTTATACAAAAATTTGCTCAATAATATATGAACTGTTTTAGTCATCATTTATCCGACAACTAATTAATTTTATTATTATTTTTTTGTAAATCTTGCCTTTTGATCAAAGAATATTGATACGAAGTATAGAGTTTAATCTCTTTCAAGTTATTGGACGGCGATAATATTGAAAAAACAAAAATATGTATTTTACAGAAATCAGAAAACATTAATCTGATACTTCAAGCTCTGGCATTACAACTAAACTAATCACAATTGCATCAATCCATATTTGTGCAAGGACACTAAATTTTTCATTAATTCCAACACATGATCTATGTTGAGTCCAAAGGAAACTTTTTCTCATTATTTTTACAAATGCACTTTTAAGTTCTTTCCTTTTCTAAGCAATAGTAACAGAGATTAAAATTTATTAAATTTGCAGGCTAGACATATAAGTTTTGTGTCTACTTACTGTTGTTTAGCATACTTTTCCTGTTAACAACGAAATCCTGTTAGTCCTGTATTTAACTCTTTTCAAGAGAAAATATTTGAATCAAAATAATGTGACTTCTGGCCCAAAGTGGAAGTTTGTATATAGTTAATCAGTGTCTCCTGACCCTAAGCTTTCCATATCTGGTCCCGACTTTTATCTACCTAACACCATTCTCGAGATTAAGGAAAATCATACAGCAGACAAACAGACGGAAAATAGTGAAAATTTATAGGTCTAGAATTTTTTCAAATTGCAGCCCAAACAAGATTACTCAGCAGAAGGATGAATGAAAGCATCCTAAAAAAAGCTAAAAGCTCTTTAAATCATTAGGTTGCCTCCTTTAAAAGTGCAGTTTGAAAAGCATTTCTTTTTTTCCTTTCAAAGGTTCTTCCAATAATGGTTGAACACTTTAGTATA